ACATCTGTTCAGATCTCTGGACTCATGGCTCTTCTCAAGAGCGTTTAGTTACGAGAGCTGAAAGCCTGAGAGCGTTAGAGGAGAACCTCATTCATCCTCCTCCACATCTGTCAAAACGAGCGCTCCGAGTGATAAACGAGTGTCAGACGCTTCATTAAGATCATTAGGAGGCTCAAAACGGCAGCGACGGTGACTACAACACCACCAAATCAAGAGAAATAAACAGATCAAATGAGACTGAATGGAGAAACCATTTGAACCACCAATCACAAGGATGCAAGGATATGAAGGCACTTTTGTTTATTTACTAGTCACTAAAGTTCGCACTTTTTTTGGTGTAAAATTATTAGCATAATTATTTTCAGTGTCTGTTTTTTGACCAAGGAGTCTTAAACATTGCTATATTATTCCCATAATTGTCTGCTACAGATGAACGTAGTTTAGAAATGTTTATGACCCCATATTATTTGAGAAACTACATGTAAAAAAAAAAAAAAAGATAAAATTATATATAAATATATATAATGAAAAATTGGTTAAAAATTAAAGATGATTTTAATTAAATTAAAATTACATATAAATATGCGCATTTATAAAATATAAGAGTGAAATATAAAATTTAAATATATATTTAATAAAGTACGTGTAAAATGAAAAAAAAATTAAAAGTGAATTTTAAATAAGTTTAAAGGTGATTAAAAATTATGAAAAAATAAATAGTACATAAAATACTTAAAAAATGTGGCACAATTTACAATTATTGTTTGACAGTACGGCAATTTCTTTTTCAGTGTTAAAGAATAAAAACTTACCCAGAACACCTGGTCACACAATACAGACAAAAGGCTAAAGCAAATAAAGGCGTTTGAACACAGTAAGAATATAGCTGCACACAACATGGAGCTTTTCATACTTGCATCCATAAGAAAAACCTGATAAAAGACTGCAGAGTTAAAAACAGATTCAGATGTAGTAAATGTGAACGCGAGCATGCATGATTGTGTTAATGTGGCGGCAACAAACCTCAGTACTAAAAGAGGCGAGATAAACACAACTAACTTTAACTCGATCTGCAAAATAGCCTTCAGACTGTTTGGATAGTTTTGGAGCGATAACTCCCATAATGCCAACAGCTACAGAACACAGATGTTCAGAAATACTCACTATACAACATAATCACATACTGATTTTCTGAGTAAAAGCTCATTAATGTGCAGCAGATTCGAGCACATTCTCTTCATTATAACGTCAGTGGCATTCAGTAAAGAATGTAACACACACCCACGATTATCCATTAAAACCCTGCTGTATTTACAGTAAAGCTGGCATAGTGTGTGTGATCCCATCTGATCTCATTAATGCGCAGAGCACAGATATTGCTTTAAAACTCTCCAAATGGCACATCCTTGATTTAATAATCATATATCATGTGTGCCAAGAGACGTGAGGAGGTCAACATCTCAGAAGGACACGAGTATATTAGCACGCACACCGCATTAACAACACGCAGAGGCATTTGCAACCTGAACTTAACATACAATAAAAATACAAAAAACTATGCCAGAATGATATTACTGTTCTTGAGAAAGATGCTAAAATAATGCATTAAATATATACCGGTACATAAGCTATTTTTAAAATTAAATTAATATTTTAATTCATCAAGGATGCATTAAATTGATCAAAAGTGACAAAAAATACTTTTATAATGTGACAAAAGATTTGTATTTTAAATAAACGCTGTACTTTTGAACTTTTTATTCATCTGTGAATCCTAAAAATAAAATGTATCACAGTTTCCACAAAAATATTAATGTTTTCAACATTGCTGATAATCAGAAATGTTTCTTGAGCAGCAAATCAGCATATTAGAATGATTTCTGAAGATCATGTGACACTGAAGACTGGAGTAATGATGCTGAAAATACAGCTTTGATCACAGAAATAAATTACAGTTTAACAGATATTCACATAGAAAACATCTATTTTAAATCATAATAATTTTTCACTATTTTTACTGTATTTTTGATCAAATAAATGTAGCATTGGTGAGCAGAAAAGACTTCTTTCAAAAACATTAATTGATTTTGACTTTAAAACCATAGTGTATATAGCCTAATCTGTTCCAAAACCTAGTGTGCTCCCTACCTAGACAGCATTTTAAGGGATCACAGACATTCCTCATGGAGAAGGCAATCCCAGAATGCACTGCAGTGCATGGCGGAGAAATCAAGAGAAATGTTTATTATAAATATATTGCATTCAATACCAAAATGCAATAGTATAATTCAAAATGCATTTTAATGCACATTTTAATGTGCAAACCAGTCACTTATGCTGCCTATGAAGACAACGTGAATGTGGAGCAGGAGATATTTCATCATAATCACTCATAGGATTGTTTAGCTGAGCGATTAAGAGTAAAAAGAAAAGACGAAGACCAATAATTAGACAAAAGCAGCCGCAAGAGCACTTGGAAGCGTATCCCAGAAACAAGAAAAACAGAGTACAAGAAGAAATCTGTACAAAACACAACCGCAGAAACCAGAGTCTGGATGCGACTCAACAATCTCAAGCTCTCGAAAAGAAGGCCAAAGTCATCAAGACGCATAGCAGGAATAAGGCTAAAGTCAGTTTGGTGTGGCTGTTGGGCCTCAGACAGCAAAAGCCGTCGTAACGTCTTCATTATCTGTTTGCATGAAAGCGTTTCTGGTCAGAGAGCTGTTGAAATTGATAAATGTTACGATGAAGAGCTGATGTTTGGTTTATGTGAATGGTTGCATGTGTGGAGGAAGACCTGCTTCTTTGAAGCCGATGAAGGAAGGGCGGCCCTTTGTTTATTGGACACGTTTGAAAGGACTCTGACGGAAAGCAAGCGTGGAGAAAATCCAGTTCTTGAGCTTCCCCTCGGAATCTGGCATCCATCCGGGATCCCAGCAGGAACATTGCATGATCTTTTCATGTTGTTTGGGAGGAAAAAAACAGTGCTTCTCTTAACTCTGTTCAGGGCATTTTCAAATGACTAGACAAAATATTTCATAACAGAATGTACCAAGTCTGTCCTGGAATAACACTGGAGCACTTGACAAACACAAGAACACACAGAGCAAATGTTTAGAGCCGTTCTACTGTACAGAACATCAAGCTGCTCTTTTCCAGTAACTGTAATATACTGTTGTCTGTTTGTCAGAATCTGCGACTGGATGTTGCTGTGTTTTGGAAATGAGCAAGTTGTCAGGACAACACTTCTGAGGAACAACCCATCACTGGGTTTGCCAAAGTTTGTGAGCATCATCAGCCCTGTATGGCATCTTCTAATGGTGGAAAAAAAAAACTCCATTTGATGTTTTGACCCAAAATAGCTCTAAGAACGAACATAAAGAGATGGATGGATGGAGTGATAGAATGTTGGATGGGTGATGGTTGCATGGAGCGACAGAATGATGGATGGATGGATGGATGGGTAGAAAAACAGCTAGAATAATGGATGGATGTTGGATGGAGCAAGAGAACAATGGATGGATGGATGGATGGCTAATGGAGCGATAGAATGATGGATGGATGGGTAGAAAAACAGCTAGAATAATGGATGGATGTTGGATGGAGCAACAGAACAATGGATGGATGGATGGAGCGACAGAATGATGGATGGATGGATGGATGGATGAATGAATAGAAAAACAAATAGAATGACGAATGAATGCATGAAGCAATGCATGAAGCGATGGATGGATAGATGGATGGATGGACAGAAAGACAGATTGATGGATGGATGTTGAATGGAGCAGCATGGATGGAGTGACAGAGCAACGGATGGATGGATGAATCAATAAAACAATGGATGGAAAAATAGAAAAACAGATAGAATGATAGATTGATGGATGGATGGATAAATAAATACAAAAAGGAATGGTTGTCACTTGGTAACCACAATGAAAAATCGTCCAAAAACTACTTTTTCTTATAAATTGTCACATTAAACTTTTTTTTTTTCATAAGAAAATGCATTACTGCAATTCCACTGGTACAGTGCTGATATATGGCAACATTCATATTTAATAAATATTTATGAAACTATGGTAGAAAAAGTGTATCAATTAATAACGTAATCTAATTAACCTTGAAGGATACAGAGGACAACTTTTTCTTTCCAACAGAGCATGATGTAGTTATCGCATATTAATATAAGTGACCCCAGCTAAAGTAATTTCCTACATAAAATCATCCTTCATAAGGTAAAGAACATTCTGGGAAAATGTAACCTTGATATCTTTAATATTGACTAAGACCATGTCAAAGATGGAAATCATAGTGAAATTAATGGTTGAAATCAAACTTTGATGCTTTTCTCATAAAAAAGTTAGTTGTTAAAAGTTAGTTAAAAAGGTTGTAAAGTTATCTCATAATTAGATTGCCTGGATAGCCTGGATTTCACAGAGAGGGTTACTGTAGGTTTTTTTTTTTTTTTTAAAGCTGACAATAAAATAATATAGGGTTTAATACTTATACTCTCATTTTGGAGAGTATAACATACGTAAAAAACGTATGCAACGTATGTACACGGATACGTTGTTTACGTTCAAATCAAAGCGCAAACAACGTAAACAGTGTATCCGCGTACATACTGTACGTTGTCAACTCATTTCTCCGTGCTACGTTTCTGAGCCTTGATCATGTAAGAATCCTTGCCGTCTATGGGAGGGTCAGAGAGCTCTCGGAATGCATCAAAAATATCTTAATTTGTGTTCCGAAGATGAACAAAGGTCTTACAGGTTTGGAACAACGTGAGTAATAAATTAAAATTTTTATTTTTGGGTGAACTATCCCTTTAAAGCGCTTCATCTCTGGCCCTTCAGTGATAGATTTTCACTGAATAAACTTTGATTCTCTTAGAAAAACAACAACAATAAGTCATGTCTAGACTTGACTCAGAAGACGGTAGAATCAGGTCTGGATGTCTGTGAGGTCATGAGCGGGAAGCAGGAATTACTACATGTCTACAGCACTTGTGTAACGCCGGTCCGCCTGTACATACACGTCCCAGAGCGAGAGACCGCTGTCATTACAAAGCTGGAAGAGCTTTAGCAAAGCCTACAGGGAACCGGAAACCAGCAGCAGACACAATGACATGAGATTAGTAACGAGTGAAGCCCCTAAACGTGACGTCGACATGACAGAAACCAGCCGTGCCCTTCCCAGCTTTCACAGGAACATGATGAAAGCCAGAGTGAAACGGCTCAGGTGAACTTCCTCAGTATCTGAGATCACACTTCACAGAAGTTACGTTGCCAGGTGTGACATCAGCACAGACCAAACAAACGCAGAGCTTTAGGGAGGGTCAGACTCCATCTGCACCTGCGGAGCTTCACCTGTTTGACAATCTCTGGACTTTAACACTCGGGATCTACGACGGACTCTGTACTGCAGAAGCAGAGCTCAAAAACAAGACAAAACTGCAAAGATCTCTTGGGTTACGGTAAGAGAAACTCTTCGTTTTGCCTTGAGCGACACTTCAGATCACTTCCACTATTTCACTTCCACTATCATTTATATAAAGCCATAAACTGGCTGCACTCTTAAAAATAAAGGTTCTTTATTGGCATTTATGGTTCCATGAAAAACATTTAACATCCATGGAACCACTAAAGGTTCTTTAAAGTTAAAAAAAAAATGTTCGTCAAATTATCAAAATATAAGAAGAAATGGTTATTTTCAGAAATGTTCACTGAAACATTCTTTGTGGAACCAAAACAGTTTTTCTACACAAATACACTCAAATTAATGGTTCTTTATTGGCGTCTTGGTTCCATGAAGAACCTTCAACATCTATAGAATCTTTCAACTGTGCAAAAGTTTCTTTATAGTGGAAAAAAGTTCTTTAGATCATTAAAATGTTCTTCAAACCAAGAAAATAATGGTTCTTTGAAGAACTGATTACTGAAAGGTTTCTAGGGGAACCAGAAATGGTTCTACTCTTTCAAAAATTAATGGTTCTTTATTGGCATTCATGGTTCCATGAAGAATCCATGGTTACCATCCATGGAACCACTAAAGGTTCTTTATAGTGAAAAAAGGTTCTTCAGAACATTGAAATGTGTTTCACACGAAGAAGAAATTGTTATTTTAAGAACTGTTCACTGGAAGGTTCTTTAGGGAGCCAAAAATGTTTCTTCTATATGACATCTATACAATCTTTCCACTGTGCAAAAGATTCTTAAAAGTGGAAAAGGGTTTGTAGGTGTCTAAAAAGTTCTTTACACTAAGAAAAATGGTTCTTTTAAGAACTGGCCATTGAAAGGTTCTTTAGGGAACCAATAGGGTGGTTCTACAGTATTAAAAATAAAGCTTCTTTATTGGCGTATTGGTTCCACGAAGAAACTTTGACATCTACAGATTCTTTCCACTGTGCAAAAGGTTCTTTACATCAAAATGTGCTTCAAACCAAATAATGGTTCCATGAAGAACTGATCACTGAAAGGTTCTTTGGGGAACCAAAAATGGTTCTTCTACACTCTTAAAAACAAAGGTTCTTTATTAGGGCCTTTCGCACACCGCTTTAGTTCCATTATTGGCTTTGATGGTTCCCATGAAGAACCTTTAATGTCCATGGAACGAACAAAAGGTTCTTTATAGTGGGGGAAAAAAGGTTCTTTAGATCATTAAAATGTTCTTCACACCAAGAGAATAATGGTTCTTTTATGGCATCACTGCAAAAACACACTTTTGGAATCTATATTTTTAATAGTGTATAGTGAAAAAAGGTTTTTTAGATTATTAAAATCTTCACACTAAGAAAAAAATTATTATTTTAGGAACTGACCACTGAAAGGTTCTTTGAGGAACCAAAAAATTGTTTTCGATGGCATTTGCTGCCAAAACCAACCTTTATTTTTCAAAATGTAGCCAGTTTTATGGCTTTATATAAAAGCGATGTCAAATAATGATGTTGAAATTCAAATAGTGGAAGTGCATACTATACTTAAAAAGATTCGCATCAATATAACATCAATATCAACGAAGCAAAGATTATTTAGGGTTTTGTGGCAGAATATCCAATGCTATTTAGAGAATCGTTCAACCTGTTTTATAGACTAACAAGTCTTGTCATGTTAGCAGAAACACCTCTAACGTTTGCTGGCTTCAGACCTCAGATGTTCAGATGTGGGCGTGAAACACCTGCACACCTTTCCAGGTAAGACACAAACAAACAAACATCATTTTAAAGGTTTAAACTGGTGTAGCAATTGGTTGTTTTGGTGATTTAGCATGCATTTCCTTAAAAACAATCCACTTCTGTCCTCCCTCCCTCTCGTTGCATGTTTGTAGAGGAATGCCGTTATGCGCTCGCCGTCTCCCGCTGCTAGTAAAGTGCCGATAAAACCTTTATTGGCCAACAAAACATGTTTTCTGTAGTGCCATACAAATTTAAAGAGTGAGTGTTGCGAGTCACGAAAGCTGATCTAATGAACTGTAAACCGCGAAACAGGGCCGCGACCGTCCGCGCCGATGCCAACTGGAGTAAAGAGCTTCCTACGGACATTATCACAACAAATGGGTCTAATTACTCTGTATACCAAACTAATTTAGCCATATTCATACTTTAATGAGAGCGCTTTATGAGAACATGCTCTGAGAATGCAGGTCACTGATTACGCATGAATCCAGAATGTAATTGTGCAATTAAAATGTGTAAATCTGATTTAATTTACGTTCTCACGGAAGAATCAAAAGTCATTTGCTGTAAGTGAGAAGACGAAACACGCCAGCAGCTGTAAAGATGTCGCAATATCTGCTGTTAATCTGTAACCAGCTGGAAGAAAACTTAATCTTAATCTAATCTTAATCAAATACTGGTTCAAATGAACAGCTACAGTATATGTGAGATACAGCTACAGTACATGTGCTGGATCAGACAAAGTCTCTTCTGCTCACTAAAGCTGCATTTATTTGATCAAAAATACAGTTAAAATTCTGAAATATTATTAGAATTTTAAATAGCTGCTTTCTATGTGAATATCTGTTAAACTGTAATTTATTTCTGTGATCAAAGCTGGATTTTCAGCATCATTACTTATGCTGATTTGCTGCTCAAGAAACATTTCTGATTATTATCAATGTTGAACACAGTTGTGCTGCACAATATTTTTGGGGGAACTGTGATACATTTTATATTTCAGGATTCACAGATGAATAGAAAGTTCAAAAGAACAGCATTTATTTGGAAAATAAATCTTTTGCAACATTATAAACGTCTTTACCGTCACTTTTGATCAATTTAATGCATCCTTTATGAATAAAAGTATGAATTCCTTTAATAAATAAATAAATAAACTGCCTCCAGACTACAAATTTATGATGTATAGACTAATAAATAAATATGGCGTATAGCATTTAAGAAAAATAATATATTTATTTGACATTCAAAAATATTAAAAAATATATTAAAAAATAACAACAACAAAACTAAATTAAAACTCTTTTTAATTCTAGATACCCTAATAAATCAATAAGGCTTACAACAACAAAGAAAAAAAAAATACTTTAATCAATTTAATGCACCCTTGCTGAATAGAAGTATTAATTTCTTGAAATACAAAATAAAAGAATATATATATATATATATATATATATATATTATATTAAATTTTTTATCAACAAGTCTTATAGTAATTATAGTAATTATTTTTTTTTATATTCATTTTTGATAAATTGAATCATGCATCCTTGCTGAATAAAAGTGTTTATTAGTGTCGGGGAATTT